CTAGCGCGATCTCACTCGAATGCGCCACCGAAGCGCCGCCGTCGCGAAGTCTTAACGTTGCCGTAGACTACCCCATGCGCGGTTCACGACCCGTTCAGCGGGGAGATTCGGACAACCTTCCGCGGGCAGTGATTGGCAGTAGTGAAACTGGGCCTGATTGTTGCAGTCACTCTCCTTTCTAGTGAATGTGCCTTCAAACGTCTTTTGAAGCTTCACTATAGAAAGCACGGAAACTGTGGTTTATTGCAGCAGCCTGGAATCGAACTAGGCAAGGAACGCCCAATTACAAATTGCCGAAGGTACATCTTGGTCATGTGATGACAGACAGTTACCAAGATGTACCTCCAATATGGGTGGGAGGGTTCGGGATATATAGTCAATGTGAAACGGAGAAAACCGCGAAAAGCCAACAACCAGGAAAAGTTTTTTTTCTCAACGCGGCAACCTTCTCTCAGAGGCACATAGGACCCCTTCTCCCAACAACGACCAAATACGACCCTCCCCATGTCTTTCACACATGCGGTACCCTGTAATACAGTCGTTGAAGCAGATCGGGGTGTGACATCGGGGCATGGGTGCAGATGCTACGCCGGCCACTTTCGATCAGAGCGGTTGGAAAGGGGATGGCGCCGCGCTAAAACCCACGTGCCGCTGACACGCCTCGACTGTCGTCATTGATAACGTCTGTAGCTGCTCTTTAACTTACCCATTCACCGCGTTTTCCATATTTTTGCATGCATTCGTCATAAAACCGGAGAGAATGGGTGCTAGTCGTGTTCAAGTCGATGATTACCTCGCACGCAGGAACACTCGGTCCGAGTAAAATCGCCAGCTCCAACCCCTGTAATCAGTTTATCCAAAGTGTACAGCCAGATGTTCCAATAAAGCCCAGCGCTTAATAGCGCGTTCAGAAATGATATACGACCGTGCCTGTGTTCCCCTATCCACGTAGTCGCCGAGGAAAATATAGGTATTACGTGAAGGATCGCCACATCGGTCTATAATCTTTCGTAGGTCTACTAGCTGTCCATGGAGATCACCGACCACTGTGACCGGGAGGACGTCGCTGCAATATGGGACTACAGAATAATTATTTTTCTGGTTCTTTCCTCTCTATTGTCATTTTTTATTTGCTGTCAAATTATGTACTGCTGAGCAGAACGGTTTAGTAACAAGGGTCGCGGACCACACAGGAGGAGGGGGGGGGGGCAAAAAAAGACACTTTTCTTCCTCGACTTTCAAGGCGATATAAGTTACACTTTATCAAATTCTGATTGGACATTTCCACCACCATATTCAACAACACATTGTACACTATCACGATACTCCGCCACAGCCTTCTGGACGAGCGCCATCGAGAGATTCTGCCACGCGACCGTGATTCGGTGCCTGAGTTCAGCGAGGTCGTTGATTTCTCCGCCACTGTAGACCACCCTGTTGAGCTCCGCCTGAACCCGGTAATTGAGGGGTTTAGGGCAGGTGACACACTTGGATATTCCATCTTCTTCAGGTACTCAACGCCCTTCGATTCCAAGTAGGCGAGAGTTTTTCCAACGCCCTTCGATTCCATGTGCTGGCACCCAATCCTGTAGCAGTACGAAGTTTCCAAGATGGTACAGGCGACGACATGAAGGCAGGATATTCTCCTCGAGCTGTTCGATGTAACCGTCAGCGTTCACTTTCAGTCCGGGGTCCACGAAGAAAATATCGGTCTTCCCATTCCAGGAACTTCCGGTCCATACCATCAACCCGCGCCTTGGCGACTGCGGTGAAGATGATATCCTGGACCGTAGCTGCTCGATGTTGGAGGTCTTCCAGATCAAGAGTACCGGTCTCCAGGTAGCTGTCCATGGGTGACTCCATACAAGAAGTTTCGCAGCTGTTTGGGAGTGACACTCCATAGGCCTTCTCCAGTCAGGCTGCGACTGGAGATGGTTTCATATTTTGGTGTACATGAAGGTGATGGGCGAGGGCCAGCTCCTGCTTATCGAGGAACATCTTGGGTATCTTCCGCCCTGGTACTCGTATCCACGTCCTCTGTCTGGGCTGCGAAAACTTTATATGTGACTCGGCCAAAGAGTCTTCTTTGCCCCCTGTGTACATAAAGAAATCGAATGTTGGACCAGTTTCCGCAAGGGTGAACCAAGTCTTCTTCCCCTTCGCGGTAGTGACCCTTGTGAGGGATAAAAGCACTGACATTAACTTATCAGCTGCCCCCTCCCACTAAGAAGCTGTGCAGTCTACAATAGCTGTGCAGGAATACGTGTCACATCCCCAGAAGGGACCACCAGAAACCAAAGCCTTACCGTTGAAACATTAGTATTAACAGTAAGACGTTGGTGTGGCGGCGAACCGGCGATACATCATTCACTGCACCGAAATGCTCTGGATACTAGTTTGGCGATGGTGTGAAGCAAAAACTTGGACAGTCGTCTCAAAGGCGGGGTCCCTCTTTCAATGGCGGCACTGTTTCCTCGTGATATGTAGGGTACCAAGTGCCTCTCTGGGGTCAGTTGGCACTGTCGGATAGGCTTCTCTTTATTACCGGTTCGGCTAAGCACACTCCTCGTGGGCACCACACGGTTAGTTTTACTGAGTCGGATCTCGGCGGTCAACGACGCACTTCTTCTCTCTGTGAGTAGCTCCGGACAAACAACGCTACATACATCTCCACAGGCGGAACCCTTGAACGACATTACTGTAACAAAAATACCGCTCAAGGAAGGTCTTTGCTATGAGGTGGGGTGAATGAATCGGCCAGGCTAGCAGTAGCGTGCCCTTTTCACCGCTCAAAAGCACAAGGGAACGAGGCTGTAGGGTAGTGGTATCCGAGCGTCGTCTCCATACTCTGCCCGCCCTATCCTCACAATCCCGCACTTGCGTCGATACCAAAATCCCGCGGCGAAATATGCACTCAGCGACGGAGAACAACTAGAAGTGATAGGGCGCAGACAAGTAGCCTGTTTCGCCTTTGTTAGGCGTGTGACTGGACATGCGGCAGTCGGAGTATCTTTACAGCAACCACGGACCCACTCTCCACACAAGCGGCGACGGCCAGGGTTAGCGAAGGTGAGGGTGCGGTTCGTTTTTGAGGAACCATTTAGACTAGCCGCTGGCATGGCATACGTTTGTGTTATGCAATCCCTCCGCTTCTGCATGTATCCATACAGCAGAAGGGCGCTTCAAATTCTACTCTTTAATGTTGTTAATGGGAAACAACTATGCTGTTAGTCTGATAATAGTGATAAAGACATTAACTGCTGCTTCTCACATCTCATCACCACCATTCATCCAAAACCCACTTTGTTTAGCGGTGTGGTATGTCACAGTTGAGGGAATAGGAATCAGTGTTTTAATCACTGACCATGCGAATCTTGTGAGTTACATAGATCGTACTGTGGTCATTAGCGGTGCTGCGGATTTTGTCGTGCAAAGTTGTCACAATCATTAAGGGACTGGAGTAGGAAGATTGCGTTCAAAGTTAGCGGCAGCGTCCACCAGCGTCAACCAGCGACCATCAGCATTTCGAGCGTCCGTCAGCGTCAGCCACTAGGAAAGTTTAGATATCGATCCAGCGAACGGCAGCGTCTACCAGCGTCCATGAGCGTCCGCCAGCGACCATCATCGTCTTAAGGGGCTGGGAAAAAGTGGATATCAATCTAGCGTCTACCAGCGTCCACCAGCGACCAGGGTAGGGAGTCTAGGAGGGAGCAGACAACCGGATCACGCGCCGTGAAATTGCGGCGTTTGTAACCGCACCATACTACCACACAAGACCGTACTGGTAGCTGGCCTACGCTGGTCGACGCTGTAGCCGCTGGTAGACGCTAGATCAGTTCCCATATTTTCCTAGTCCCTTGAGAGGCTGATGGTCGCTGGTGAACGCTGGTAGACGCCGGTAGTTGCTGGCGTTCGCTAAATCGATATCTACAGGGGGGGGCCAAAAAAAGTC